GGTATGCAATGGTAGCCGAGCTAACTGGTGGATCTGGACTTGGATCGTCATCATCGGAGGTTTCTGAAATAGATGAATATTTTTCTGCTTCTTTAGTTAGATGTCAAGGAAATGCTTTAGATATTTTGCAATGGTGGAAAGTATATGGATCAGTTTCATATCCTATACTTTCCACCATGGTTCGTGACTTACTAACAGTGCAGGTTTCGACGGTAGCTTCGGAATCCGCCTTCAGCACAGCAGGTCGTTTGATCGACGATCACAGGACATGCTTGGATCCGTATACTGTACAAGCGGTGATGTGCTTACAAGATTGGTGGAGGTACGAGAAGCGAACGCAAGGCATCGATCGGATGGCTGGAATTGAAGATAAATTTGAAGAATTGGGACTAGCAGATAGATATAAAGAATAGATTGTAGTTTTTATATCTTAGCTTACAATTTGTAAAGAATTATTTTGGAAATAATTGCAAATGATAGTGATATAGGTGAGTAGGTGCCAACCTAGTTGGGATTTACTTATCTATTGTGATGCGATTAATTCCAAAATAAATTTGTACTTGTAATTTGTAAATGATTTATTAGTTATTAATAAAGAATTTGTTTTTATCATTTTTTATTTGTAATTTATGTCATTTTAAGTAATTAATAAAATTATTGTTTTTATTATTTTTCTTATCTTTTTTTATAATTTAAAATTTAAATAAAATTGAAAAATTTTGGAAAAAAATTTAAAAAAAATCAGCCGGGCCAGCCCGGAACCCGGCCCGGTCGGTCTCGGGCCCGGATTTCCGGGCCGGGCCGGCCCGGATGGACAGGCCTAATGCTATGTTTGAACGATCACGAATAACTAAGTACTAATACGACACCTTGCTATGCTTTTTTACTTTTTAAAAAATGAATGAAAAAGTATTCTGATATCTTAAGAAATCGCCAATTTAAATTTAGGAAAATATGTTTGGAAACTAGACTTATATGTTATCAAAATTACGCACGAGTTTGGAAAAAGTTTTTCATATGGTCAATATTACTCTTTACTATTTGGAATATTTCATTTAAATCTTATCTATTCTAATTATAATTATATCATATTCTAATACCCTGTGAACTAACTATAGCTCAACAATTTTAAAAAAAGTAAGCTTAATAAAATATTCGAACTAACTCCACGGTATTAGTTTGTTAAGGTAAAGTAATCATCTATTTTAAATATTTTATTTAAATCTTAATCTATCCTAATCATAATTATATATGTTGCGCGTCGGCGGAAGCGTGCGCACAAACCAAACGAGTCGTCGAGCAATGAGAGGAGAACAACTAACGAGTGCAAACATAGGAACACAGAGATTTATGTGGTTCGACAATTGTCTACGTCCATGGGGAGAGGATGGGGAGATTTCACTATATGAAGGAGAAATACAATGGGTTATAACTCTCAAACACTCAAAATAACCCTAACCAAAAGATCTCACACGCTCACAATAATCTCCCTCTCAAAGTGCTCAAAAGACTCTTTTTCTCTCTACAAATCTCTTCTAAAACATTCTATATATATATATATAGAAATCCTAAAATCAAAACAGACTATGAATCCAACAATTCTGAAACCAAAACTAAAACAGACTAGGAATCTTGTTTGGCCTAATAACCTGCTATCCAATGATTCTCCACCTCGGTGAAGTATTCCCAAAACTGAGCCGACACCAACAAGAGCACAAATGTGTCGTCTTTCCAAATTCGGTTGTACCAATGTGGTTGCCTACGTACCCCATCTCCCAAAAGATTAAGCCGCCCCTAGTTCATCTAAATGACCTCGAAAGACCTCAACAAGCACAAATCCGCAAACAAGTTTTTGCAATTATCGAACTTGTTGCTCGGGACCACCTTTGTGAGCATATCTGCTGGATTGTCTCTTGTGTGGACCTTCACGAGCTCCACATTCCCATCTTCAAGAACATCCCGGACGAAGTGATAACGAACGTTAATGTGCTTCGTCCACGCATAGAAAACCTAATTCTTCAATAACCAATTTTAACCTGGTTCGGCAAGTTACCTACGTCCACGAGGTAAGAAGGGGATAGAGTTTTTCACTAATAGAGAAGAAGAGTACAAACTAAGATTACAAATCACTCAAACTCACCAATTAATCTCACCAACAAATCTCTAATTCTCTCCAAACAAAACTCTAACCAATAGCTCAGAAAATACCTTTTTTCTATGCTCTAAATATCCTCAATTTTCTTCTCAATTCTCTCTTCCAATTGTTCCATATATATAAAAATCCTAAAATCATAAACATACTAGGAATTCTAAAACAAAAAACAAAACAGATTAGGAATCCTAATTAAAATCATAAACATACTAGGAATTCTAAAACAAAAAACAAAACAGATTAGGAATCCTAATAACATGTTATCAAAACAGATTTGGAATCATGTTACCAAAACAGATTAGGAATCTCAATAACCTGTTACTAAAATAAATTAGGAAACATATTAGGAACCTGCTATCCAACATTCTTCATCTTTGCCCACGTTCGAACTGGATCCGTCCCTTGATGGTATCGATTTATTAGTACTTCATCCCACCATGCAGATGCTTTTTCTTTAAGCATGTAGGCCACTAATTTAACTTTCCAATCTTCTAGGATTATCTTATACTCAAAATACTTATCCACTTTATCAATCCAATCATGGAAATCATCAACATAAAACTTTCCGTTTAAGGATGGTATTTTTAATCTTCTAGTGACATAATTGTCCTGTTTTTGGTGGTCTCTGCGATCATAACCACGGCATGAGGCTTTATAGTCATCACTATTGAATTCATCATGTGGAGTCGGATCACGTCGTTGGCGACCATCAACGCGATTTTGAACTCCTCCCGTGTTCAGACGCTCCACTGTCGACGTAAGTCGTTCTATGACAGTCTTCATCTGATTAACATCAGTCTTCAGCACGTCGAACTCAGTTCAAGAAAAATAGGCTTGATCACCTACCATCGGATCGGAGGAACAAAGCTCTGATACTGGTGTTCTCTGAATCCACAAAGAGCGATCTTCGAATCCACGAAGAACTTCGAATCCACGAAGAAAATATTAAAAGAAAAATTTTATTGATGAAAATTTAGTATTCTCCTTTGGCGTTACATGACTCTTCTTAAATAGAAAAAAAATAAGACTCCTAGTAAGATTAGAATTACAAAGAAATAGAAAGTATCAAATTCTATCCTTAAAAAACTCCCTATAATAGAGGAAACAAATCATGAATCAAAATTGAATTTGTTTTCTAATATAATTAGACTCTAATATTAAACTTATTTCCTAATCTAAATATACTCCAATTTTATTACTAAAAATAAACTAGAAGCTGATTATTTTTGGATTTCAGTCAAAACTGGGTATTACTGATGAGATTTTAAAAATCTGACAATCTGGTTGGCTCCGTCTCGTCGAGATAGGCGATTTACATATATAATATGTCAGAATTCGCCTTCCGGATTAAAAAATATGATTTTTTTTTGCAGAAGTTAATAATATGTTGATTGTTTCTTTACAGAAGTCAATAATACGCGTAGCCCGTGATTCTCCGGATCCTCCATGAAATTGTCCGATAAGCGTCCTACATCAACAACCCGTTCTCAAGTCAGCTTATTTCGTAATCGTCATTCGAGACACAGCCATAGGTCTCAAAGTGTCTACTATTAACCAATCAAGTTTGTAGGCTGTTAACAACACTAAGATGATAGATCAAGTCTTGACCAATATTTTCATCACCACCAAGTTCTCCCCTGAATGCAAATGGACCACCTAAACTTGCAAGAAGTACCACGACATTTTGATGATGGACCTCCCGCTGCTCACAAACTTAGATGGTAGCCAAAACACGTCCGTCTTCGGTTCATGGATCTCACGGTCCGTAATTCTTGAGGGGTTGATATATAAATGCATGCTAAGCCTGCTCAAAAGCTGCTGACCAACTATAAGTAAAACTAATATCCTCTTATTCATCTCCTCTCAGTTTTGTATCTCCTCCTCTTCATCCTCAAGACTACAAGAAAGACGGGGGGTACTGTGACCTCCTCCTCGGAGCAAGTATACCTGAATTACAACATGATTCTCAAGGTTCACTGACATGAACTCACATATTTATTGGATACAACTCTTTCAGAATTCAGAACCTCATATTTCTATATGTAAAAAAAGAAAAAAGAAAAAAAAGAAGCGAACCTAAAGCGTATCACGTTCTAGAACATACCGTTTAAGACTTGTTGATATTATGTTTAGTCACACGTTGGTTATGAGATGACACATCACCCTCCTCTACTTGTATATATATAGGTGTATACATTCAATATTTTAACTAAGAGAAATTTACCCCCAAGACTTTTGTTGATTACCATTTCCTAGCATGTTGCTTATAAATCAAATATTGAAAATAAAAAATCTGAGTATAGTATATATTATTCGTAGCTCTATTGACAAAAGCAAGTAGCTCTACTGATGAATTTCAAATTTTTTTTTCTCTTTTGAAAATCTTTTACATGAATGAGTTTTTGTTGTAAAGTTGAAATCTCAGTGGGGAAAAAAAATTCGATCTTTCGGTCCGAAACTGCGTCGCTATCTGCGATTCCAGCAGACCCTCCTCTGTCGACGTCGCCTCTTGAAAATATGTACAAAATTATAAAGGAGACGAAAGCATTTCCGCGGCTTCACTCTTCAGCTTCATCAGTCTCTCCTGGGTGGATCCGAGCTCCTCGAGTGCCTGTTCATGAGAACGCTCTAGTCCAGCCAGGTCATTTACAATAACAGCAGTAGATTCCTCAACGCACTTCAAGGCCTCTTTTAACCTAGTCGTTTCCTCACGGTTCGAGTCCAAAGAGCGGAGTAGCTCAGCTCTCTCCGTATCTTTCCTCGCCACATTAGCCATTAGCTGCGCAATGGAGCTCTCATGTGACTGAAGCTCGCACCCGATGGAAGATCTCAGGTCACGCCAAAAAAAAAAAAAAAAAAAAAAAGCTCTCAACTTTCGGCACTTGCTTTTGTCTTTCTCTTGTCCTCAAACCCCCTCCCCCACTGCAGCTCGTTCTCTCTTTGTTGATCTCTTGCTGTTCTTGAGATTTGGGAGCTTTTACGCTGTAGTCCTCGGTAAGTTTGTCTCTTTCATTCAAGTCTAATTCGATTGAATTGTGTTCAAAGCGATCTAATTTTGGTCGTCTCACTGGATTTGGGAGCTGGGTCTTGGTTGATTTATGTCGTCTCCTGCTACTTTGATCTAATCTTACCGTGATTATGATCTCCAGAGTCCTTATTTGAGCTGGGTCTAGTGCTGGGCTTGTTTAAACTGTCTATTTTTGTTCATTATTTAACCAACAAGTGGCTTGATAGATCTTAGAAAGTTAATTTCTGAGAGGAAAGATGACTTATTTTACCCAAATAAGTGTTCTTTGTTCTTGCACTTATCATACCATCTGTTGGCAGAATCAAAATTTGTACATATTTCGGGGAGTTCGTCACGGTAGCCCAGATGGGTTCTTGCCGATTACCGTCGGTGCTGCAATCTGCAGTTTGCGAATGGTTGCTGATGTCCCTGTTGTTTCTCCACGCCTCGTTCTCGTTCCTGGTCACGAGGTTCGCTCGCCTCTGTAAGCTGCAAGCTCCTTGCTTGCTGTGCTCAAGGCTGGATCATGTGTTTGGCAACGAGAAGCCGAGGTTCTACGTGGACTTGATTTGTGCTTTCCATAAATCGGAGATCTCGTCTTTCGCTTATTGTCACGTTCATCGAAAGCTTGCGAACGTCAATGAAATGTGCGAGGGGTGCCTGGTTTCATTTGCCACTGAGAAGAAGTCGAATAGCGAAACGTATAGGTTGCTGGTGGGTAAGGTAGGTATTGAGGAGGTTGATGAGAATGTTGATGGAGAAGATGTTGAAGTCTCTTTACTGACAGAGGATCATACGTCGGGTTCTTCAGTCACGAATCGCTGCTCTTGTTGCTCTGTGCCGTTTAGACACAAGTCTGTTAGAGTCAATGGGAGGTTGAGCAGAAAGAGGGAAAACTCTCTGGTATCGCCTTCAACTCGTCATTTAGAAAATCACAGAGTTGATGGCTTGTCTCATGTTGGTTATAGCGAAGTTAAAGCTAATTCTGATTCTGAGTCGGAAAATCCATTATCAGAAGATGCTGAAGACCTTAAGGAAGGTATCGAAGATCGATGCTTGAACCCACAGCCTGCTGCCGATATTTCGAATAATTTGTCAATGTCTCTCTCAGATGATACAATCACGGAGAAGTTGATTCAGCCAACTTATAGTGAGCCTGAGTCTTCATCGTATATCCCCGAAGATCAACTACTTAATGTTGGCGAGTCTCGTGATGCATCTTTGGCATCGACTGTTGCTAATGGACACAATTTGGAGGAAATCAAACCCGTAACCCAGAAAGATCCTTCATACTTTTCAGATGTAAAATGTGAGTTTTCATTTGCTTTGTGTTGTTTATCCCAGAAAGATCCTTCAGAATATTTTGAATAAGTTGTCAATGTCTCTCTCAGCTGATACAGTCATGGAGAAGTTGATTCAGGTAACTTGTAGTGAGCCTGAGTCATCGTTATATATCCCTGAAGATCAACTACTTAATGTTGGTGAGGCTCGTGATGCATCTTCGGCATCGGCTGTCGGTAGTGGACACGATTTGGAGGAAATCAAACCCATATCCCAGAGAGATCCTTCAGAATTTTTAGATGCAAAATGTGAGTTATCTGCTTTCCCTTGTTTTGTTCTTTCCTTCAGGTTTGCTGATTGGGGTTAATTGCAGGCAGACCCTCTGCAGTTCTGTTGTTGCAGACAGACCCCTTGAGTGAAAAGTTTTTTACTCTTTTCAGGAGGTATTTCTGCAACAATAGATTTTCACTCAGGGGCCTATTGCAACAGTAGAACTCTTTCAAGAGGTCTATCTGCAACAATAGAACTGCATGGGTAGTATGTTCAATTAAGTGTCAGGAAAGGGGGGTCTATCCGCAATTGACTCTTGCTGATTCTTCTCTGTACCGCTGTATTTTTTTTCAGTAAACGTCGGTGAGAGCCCTAAGCCTTTGAGCCTTACTGATACTAGTCCTGCTCAAATTGATCTAAATGATGCTTACAAGCTTGCTATTGGTAGTAAGGGAAGGTTGACATCTCCTACAGTCAACGAAGTAATCACAGGCAGGGATTCTTCTAAAATTCACGAAGATCTAAGATTGCTAATATCACAATTATCTGCTGCTAGAGGTCTAGAAAGCCCCTGGCATGAGTTGAGTCCTAGTCCTAGAGTTCACGGGCAAGGAGATGATTTGAAGTTTGTCGATGCTTCAAGCTCTGCTATATTGCAGAACATTACAAAAACTCTTTCTATTGAGAGAAATGAGTCTGGTTTTGAATCATTTGATGGGAGTATAGTTAGTGAAATCGAAGGAGAAAGTCCAGTGGATCGGTTGAAGAGACAAGTTGAGTTAGATAGGAAATCAATGTACCTTCTGTATAAAGAATTGGAAGAGGAAAGAAATGCTTCAGCAATTGCAGCAAATCAATCAATGGCAATGATTACGAGGTTGCAGGAGGAAAAGGCTTCAATGCAAATGGAGGCTTTGCAGTACCAGAGAATGATGGAAGAGCAATCAGAATATGACCAGGAGGCGATCCAGAAATTGAATGAGCTACTTGTTAGAAGAGAAAACGAGATGAGAGAAATTGAAGCTGAAGTTGAAAGCTACAGAAAGTGGTTTGGTGATAAATTAGTGGCTGACACAGATATTTCGAGCAATCCTTTGTTTGATTTTGAAGATGAGAAGGCCTATATTTCAGATTGCTTGAAGAAATTGGAGAGAAAACTTTATATGCTTTCCACTAATAGAATGCATGTTGATATTTCTATAACAAACCATACGGAAACTTCAATTGATTCAGATTCTAATAATGGAAATCATCATTTGATGGATGGTAACCCAAGTGACTTAGTAGCTATATTGAATGAAGTTTTGCGACTAAATGAGAGATTGAAGGTGCTAGAAGCAGATCGTAATTTTCTTGAGCACACTGTGAACTCGCTTCGAAATGGGAATGATGGGGTACGATTCATTCAGGAGATTGTTCTTCAGCTACAAGAGTTACGGAGAATCGGGATCACCCTAGGAGAATGCAGTTCATCATGAGGTAACTTCTCAATAGAACTTGTTAGAATTGGGATGCACGTTACTGTTACACTTTTCTATAACAGTAGTCTTACCTTATCTTCTCTTTAACATGTAATGTTTTGAAATAGCTGTAGAAGAAGTTTCCATCATTTTGTTTAATTATCTCTGTAATTCAGTGTCTGATATCTTATGCCTTTATACGAAGTGTAGGTTTCATCAATATGGTCTGCTTTCAACTTGTTTGCAACTTTTGAACCTTATATTTGATGTTACTATATATGTTAAGGGTACAAAATTATTACCCTCGTCACAAACTTCGTAATCTTTTGTAGCGGCATGGACCTTTAACATGTCATCAGAGTAGTACAAGTACTATCAACAGTGAATTTGAAGTGGGATTAAAAAAAAAAACTTTTCGTGAGTCTTAGAAGTTTGGCCTACTAAAAGGGCCCTCAACCTGCGGGAGCACAGGTTGAGCATGTTAGAGTATAAAATTATAATGCACATCACAACTTTGGAGTTCTCATAAGTCAAGGTCAGATTCAGAAAAACTTTCTTAGAGGAGCGGACAATAAATCTCTCTTTACCCAAAAATTAAAATATGCTAGGGAAAAGAACGGATAGAAGGGAAGGTAATGGGAGATGGTGGTTTTGGGTTGTTAACGGGCTAAATTCAAATCAATAGGTCAGCCATTTGAGCTGATCGTTTGTAAGTTCTTGACAAATGGGCTAAATTCCCATACTTAAATAAGCTAAAATTCAAATGTGCTACATGTTTTTTTAGCTGTTATAAGGGTTGGGGTTCAAACAATTTTAAACTAATAGGGGCAAATTGTAAATGTAGAAGGCTACAAAAATGTGATTTTTCATATTCTTAGGAGTGCACCTGCCCCTGGGTGTAGTGACAAGAACCTTTAACAGTATCTCAAGCAAGATGGGTAGAATATGAATCTAGAATGTTTTTTTTGCTAAAGATGGTACATGCTAATAGAATAATTTTGTATTTTAAACAGCTGATCCACCCTTAAATATCAAGATGGAATGTGCTTGTATTTATTGCTTATGTGCATATCTTGAAGGAAATGAGAATTGTAATCTTCTTTATGTTTAAGTATCTTCAACATTCTTTCGTGATCGATATCGATGAGCACTCTGCATCTGGATCTTGTTGCACAAGATAGGAAAGGGTCCAAACTGCAAAAGCAATAAGGGCCACCAAGTATTGTACAGACAGCAACATGACTTTCTAT